ATACCATGATCCCAAGTTTTGCTTACTCCCCTTGGCCTTCTCCAGGCCCACCAGTTCCCAGTTCTGACTGGCACACCTTTGCCTTCTCCAGGCCCATCTATAAATAAAAAATACAATATCATTAAAATACATTATTTAAAATACAATATCTATTTCTTATCTATTTATATTTTATATTTAACTATTTTTTCTGTTTAAAAATTCCATCCAGAGGGGCTTGTGCCCTCTCAGGTTTGGCCTTGTCCAGTGCCTTCTGCAGGCTTTGCTTCAGTGCCTTCTGCAGGCTTTGCTTCAGTGCCTTCTGCAGGCATGTGCTCATCTGGGCTGAAATCTGGCATTTCCACATCTTCCCCTGGTGGTGGAGGTGGCTCTGCCTCAGCAATCAAAGTACCTTCTGGAGGCATTGAGCTGCCTTCTTCAGGCAAGGTTTGGGGATCAGCTTCTTTTTTCACATTCTTCTCACCACTGCCTTCTCCAGGCTCTTCTAGAGGCTTATTGCCTTGGCCTTGGTCATCGTCCTCTTTCTTCAGCTTCTTCTTGTTGCTCCACACCCTTTGGCCTTTTCCAGGCTTCTTCTCAGCATCCATTGTCTCCTCCTCAGCATCCATTGCACAGCCTTCTGCAGGCTCTCCCCTCCTGACCCAAGGCCTTGGCCCATGAGCCTTTGAAGGCTCTGAAGGAGGTATTCCAGGCCTCCTAGGAGACCCAGGCCTGGCTTTAGGGCTTCTAGGTTTGGGTCTACTTTTGGACCTTCGCTTTTTCACATAGCCATCTCCTGGCTGCCAACACCTCCTGGCCTCCTCTTGCATGGCCTTGGCCTTGTTGATGAGCTCCCTCATCTGCCTTTTTTGTTCAGCAAGGAGCTTCAAAGGTGGCTGGGGCTGAAGCCACTGAGGGACAGGCAGGCCTTCTCTTTCAAGGGCCCTTTTTTGCAACCTTCTCAGGTCACTTTGCCTGCCCCTGGTGTTGTACCTGTCCCAGCCATCTACTGGCTCATCATCTCTTTGCCATTCAGCCCAGTCTTCCCAAGCTTGGGGGTTGAAGGGCACCTCTTCCCAGCCTTCTTCAGGCTTTTTGTTCTTTCCCCACCAAGTCATCCATGGGCCTTCCCCAGGCTTGTTTTGCTCCCACCAATCCCAGTCACCATCAGTGCTTGAGCCTTCTGCAGGCTGAGACCACTCAGTCCACCCCACAGTTTGTGGTGGCTGTGGGGCCCAGCTTGGGCCAGTGTCTTCTGAATCACTCCACACCCAAATGGATGTGGCCAAGCCTTCTTCAGGCTCTTGGCTGTGGTCCACCATCCCTGGTGGCCACCACCTATTTCCACTCCACTCAGGAACCCCTGGTGGGACATAATCATCTTCTCCAAAGATGTATTGCCCCATGGCAGGGTCTTTCTCCATAGCCTTCTGCAGGCTTTTGACTTCATTGGTGGTCAGCTCCTCCCACCCCTGGCCATTCAGGTAGAAGTAGAAGAACCTGCCACCCCAGAACCTGATCCTCCACCAGTTCAGTTCATACCATGTGCCTTCTCCAGGCAGAAGCAGCAACCACAGCAACAGCAAAGCCTTCTTCAGGCTCAGGGGCCCCACCACCACCACCATGGCTCTCACAGCAACTCTACAGCTGGTGGGTGTTGGTTGTGTTTGTTGGTGTTTGTGTTTGTGAGTGCTGCCTGTATGTTGTAAGCTCCAGTTGTGTGAGTGTTTGGTGTTTAGTTGTGGTCCTTGCAGTTGTGAGTGCAGTGTGGTTTAGTTAGTACTCCAATTAGTTAAGTGTGTGTCAGTGTGTGTGAGTGTGTAGTGGCATGTGCATGCATGTTTGCTTTGCTCTGCCTAGCTTGAGCAAAAACACAACATTACAACCTTCTTCATGTAAAAACCAAACACCAAACACCACCAAACCAAGAAACAAACCTCATGCACACCTCAACCCCCAAACCACAACCTTCTACAGGCTAACCCACCCACCAAAACACTCTTGGCAGCCTTTTCCACACCCTGCAAAAAAGAAGCCTTTTTAGGCTCAAGGTCGGCCTATAGCCTTCTTCAGGCTCAAGGTTGCCAGCCCAAAGGCCTTCTTCAGGCTCAAGGCTAGTCCACATTTTCTGCAGGCTTCAGCATAGCTTTTTTGAAATCAACCAAGGCTGCCTTCTCCAGGCTTGCTTCATTGCATGCCTTGTCCCACAGCTTGTCCATCACTTTGGTTTGGAGAGGTCCTCTAACCACCTCCACATTGACCAAGCAATAAACTTTTTTGCCTTCTTCAGGCATTGCCTGGATGTAGGCCTTCTGCATGGCCCTGGTCTGCTTCACCCACCCAAAGGAGACAGACTTGGCCCAGGATTTGCCAAGCTTTGCCTTTGCAATGCCTTCTGCAGGCTCTGTGTCTTTTGCTTTGCCTTCTGCAGGCTTGGCTGCAGGCTTCTTTAAGATGACTGGCTCTTGGGCTGCAGGTTTCTTCAAGATGTCTGGCTCTTTGGCTGCAGGCTTCTGTTTCACTTCCAGCCTTCTACAGGCTGCAATCAGCTCCTCAGGCCTCACCATGGATGAACTTTGGGTTCCTGCAACAGAACTTTCCACACCCCAAACTTCTGTGGGCTGAGGCTCCTCTTCTTCTGCAGGCTCTGCTATGATGAGCTTTGGTCTCTTGCCCTTGCCTTCTTCAGGCACCATTTTCTGCTTCAAGCTCTTGTTGGCTTGGCCTTCTTCAGACTTTTTTTTCTTCATGGACACATCCACAATAGCCAGTAGCCTCTGGATGTGGGGTGGTGTCTTCCCACCAGTCTTGAGGTTCCTTTTTCTTTTCTTCAGGTAGCTGACCACTTCATGGAATGCAGTGGCCAGCAACTTGCATTCAGAGATGGTCAAGGACCCTTTTGCTAGCTTCACAGCTTGCCTTAATTCAGGCTTGTTCAGGCTTGGCCTCCTCAAAAACATCACTAGGAAGTGTTCATGCCTCTTGCAGGCATCTTCATGGTCGCTAGGCCATTCTGCAGGCTTCAATGCATCTGGAAAACTTTTCAAAACTGTTGCAAACTCTGCAATGCCTTCTTCAGGCTGTAAAGGCAGAGGTGCAGCCATGCTCCCTATAGCTTTGCTCAGCTGTATCTCCCTGTGTACTGTGTGCATGTGTTCATGTGCTGTTTTTTTGGGGTCATGCTTGCATTTTGCCATGCTGCTCATGCTCTGTGTTGTGCTCATGCTCTGTGTTCTTGAACCAAAAAGCTGAAAGTCTGGAAGCCTGTTTTTCAAGCTTCCAGAAGCAGCTTCTGGAATACTCAACATCAACACAATTCAAACTTTCCAAGAAGCGCTTCTCAGGCAAGAAGCTTGATTTTTTGGCTGGCAGCCCTTTTTAGGAAGTATGGTTTTGAGGCTGGCAGCTTTGTTTCAGAGCTGTCAGCCAAAAAAACAAGCTTCCAGAATGCACTTCTTGAGGCAAGAAGCCAAAAAAATTGCTGCCAGCCTTGTTTCTTGACTTCTCGGAGCTTTAGGGCCATCTTCTCTCTCAGCTCAGCCACTTCTTGCTCGAGTCGCGAAGCCCGCAACTCATGAGCATTGAGTGGCATCATCACCCTCCCTTCTCTCAAGCTGAGGGGCAACCATTGTTGATCACCATGACGGCGTCGATGAGCATCTAAAAGCTCATAGCCCTGCAGGTCACTAATTTCAGCCGAGGTGCAAGACGTTGGGAACGGTGGCATAGGCACTTCCATGCTAGTCGCTGCTCTCGGTGGGGAACCAGGAGGAATCTGCGTTCCATTTGGGGTGAACCGAACATCACCTTGCTCTTGATGGCCACGTCGTGACTGGCTTCGACCCCGTGGAGTGTGTGGTGGTTTCACTCCTACTCCAGTGCTGGTTCCAGGAAGATCACCGCCACATACCTTAACATGTTGACCAGGTACATGACCTTCAGCATGACCCACATGGGTTCCCTTCTTTTCCAAGCCCACCTGCTCCCACGAAGACGGCGTGGAAGACACACCATCCGAGGCCCGCAGACGGCGAAGCTCAGCAACCTCCGCCATCAACACTGCGTTTTGCTCCTTGAGGAAGGTGACCATCTCCGCTTCGAGGGCTCTTTGTAGACCATCATGGTGCTCTTTTGCTCTTCTCTCCCCCTGATCCTTCGAGACCTCAGACCCGGGGTTCTCAGGTGTTGGAGGCATGGGCCCCATGGTACGAGCAGGCTGTCGACCCTTGGCTTCACGAACCATCTCCGGCATAGCGCCGTGAGTCCGCTTCCCACCACCCCGACCACGATCTTCTTCCTCCTCCCTGCGGCTTGGGGGTGTGACAAACAGTCCATTGCCTCCACCTTCAAGGGCCGAAACACCTCGTCCCTTCCCACAGCCACCGACGCGGTCACCTTGCGTCTCCAGCAGGTCGGAGTCATCTCCATCGTGAGGCACAGGGAGGTCCTCAGGTCGTGCATACCTCAGGAGCGCCTCCCGCTTGCAGCGGTCCGACCACCATGGGTTCAAAGGTGGCATGGAGTGGGACCGCTCAACCATGGCGTGTCACTTGGGCTCATAACCCTCGTGAACAAAGACAACGCGCCCTTTCTTCGAACACAAATGCCTGAAGTCGTGACATGTCCGATGTTCTCACCGAACAGAACAAGAATTCAAGAAGACGGAGAAGTGGTGGCCAGTGGTGGCGGGCAGTTTTTGTGGGTGTGGCAATTCAATTGGGCTAAAAGACCGTTTCAAGACTGATGCTAAAAGCAGGTTGGAAATCATCCGGACACTCACACAGCGAAAGAGGTACAAATCACTGAGCCACTTCTGTTTCGCCCATGGGCGCCCAGTGGAAGACAGTTCCACGTGTCATGTTCATCTCTATCTACATCCTCACAGCTCAGCTCTATAGCTCTACCTCCGCACTACAGCTCTATAGCTCTACATCTGCACTACAGCTCTCTGCTTCATGTTCATGTTCATGTTCATCTACAGCTCCCAGTCCCAACATCTGCACTTCAGTGAACCCAGCTGCTCTCCGCGGATTGGTAGAGTCGCCACAGCGTATCGGAGATAAACGCCTGGCCGCGCTCGGTCCACCCCCGTCGTCTGGAGAAATCCGCAGAATCCGTCGATGGATTGAAGGGAACATCGAATCGTGCAGATGAACGGTGTTCAGCCCGTTCTGGACGGTGTCCAGTTACATCTTCCGGTTCCGGTTCGTCCTGCGGTGTCCACCGGGTTCCTGGGGGCACGGTGAATCGGAGAATCGGGGGCCCCGCGGTGACATCCGGTGGAGCGGTTCGAACGTGGCACTGCATCCACGGACCGAACGTGGGTGATGGAGTGATGGATGGAATCACCCTATAGTTCTCCGGTTGAAGGAATAGAAACGATTGAAATTGAGAACAGTGGATTTCAATTTCACTGTTCTCAATTTCAATGGGCGTTGCCAAAATAGAGAGAATTCTTCATGGCTTATCTTCTACTTGACACAGCTCCCCTTTACCCCAGCTTGATTCCATGTTTCATGTTCGAACCCAGCTTTCCAAGTGAATCACTGCGTTTCTTAAAGATTTGAGTCCTTGCGGAGGAGTCAAGAAATCCTGCATTCAAGTCCTTGCGGAGCCGAGTCGACTCTTAGAACACCGAGTCGACTTGACAGAATTCGAGCATATGCTATGCTCCGATCTCGGGGAAGCCATGTTTCATCATATTTCATTGCTTCGCCTTTCAGTTGCCTTCTTGGACTTTTCTTGAGCTTCTCATGTACATATATATATATATACACCTTCTGAGATTCATGTTTCCACCTGCACTGAGATCGTCTAGACGAAGTGATGCTCCGATGCTTCCGAACGGACCAGCGAAGCCGCTTCGCCGCTGTCGCCCACCTTGGCGAAGCGTTCGCGTCGCTCCTGTGGCGGTCGGTGACCGGTCAGTTGTCGCCACGAAGGCAAAGCATAGGCATAGGCCAAGCATAAGGCAAAGTCGAGAAGGACTTTTGAAGTGTCTTACATGGAACTAAAATAGGATATGCTATTTCATGATTTCCTGCTATTTCAGGATGGAGACATGAAACGGTCCGCGGTTGAAGCACACAAGCGCACCCCATCGGGGGTGGGTTGATCAAGAGGCCGAACCAACTGAGCCTTGGGGCTGAGACCTTACGAGGTTCGACATCTGGTCGAGAATGGTCGATGTCGACTCGGCCCCTGAAACGGAACCGTTCGGCCCCGTGGGTCTACATCATTGAAGGCTAAATGGAGGGTGTGTGGAGAAAGGGGGTCAGCAAAAATCGCTTATAGTGCATCAAAAATACCTTCCACGAAGTTCTGCGAAGGTTTCTGGAATTTCGTTGCAGTCAGTTCTCCTACTGGCCCACCATTCCACGAACTGTCCACGAATAGCCTTGGGTTCTACGAATGTCCCACGCCTTCCACGATGTTAGTAGAATAGGTGTTTGCAAAAACCTTTCTGGGCACTACCCTTCCGTTTGCCTCTGAATCATGCTTCCAACCGATCGTCTGAGAGAGGGGTATAGCCAGTATGGGCCAATTCGGTCAATCGATCCAACCGCTTCAACCCGCCACGAAACGTTGGTCCATCCGAGCGGCGCTGACGAGTCAGTCGAAAGGGGTGGCGATCCGAGTCCCTGTCACCTCCACCACCGCACCGACGGGACGAGCGACGTGACGAGGTTGGAAGGTGTGTTTCGGGCCAGGACGTCCCGCACATCTCACTTCAAAAAGCTGCCCAGGAGCCCAGTATCTGACCTGGGTAGCCTGGGTAGACACCACTCACGACTCTCTCGAGTCCTCAAGGAAGGAAATCGAGGGGCCCAATCCATGGGATACATCCGAAATCCATCGAAATCCTGAGATACCCAGATGGTCCGGTTTGGCACTCCAACGAACACATGGAAGTGGATGGAACCACTCTGCTTGCCAAAAGGCCATGTTCCACTTCCATCCACTTCCATGATAGTTGGAGGGAGGCTAAGACAACCTTCTTCTTCCAACCAAAAAGAACGGCCAGAACATGTCCATCGGCGTCCCTTAGTGCCCACACCGCGGCTGTTCGGTCATCTGGAGGATCATCCGCCTTGGAATGGCCCGAACGTCTGAACGTGCTGAATCAAGACCATGTCCTTAAAACACATTCTCACCCACCTCATCTCCACTCCTTGGTAAGCTCAAGGTTCAGCGGAAAGAATGCAGAACCAATGCCCTATCTTTCTTAAAGAGATTCTCTCTACAGAATGATCTTTCAACAATCAAATTGGACATAACTTAATTAACATAAGACTTAAGACATACCATTTGCTTCAAGATGTTCAATCGGGAACCTCCATGCTACGTGCATTCCTTCGTGCTTCATCGTCCAATTCTCCCTCCCTTCAGCGTTTTCGAACCATGGAGTGGGGTCGACAGGTTGGCTGCTCCCTGGCTGGTCGGCTGCTCCAGCCGCCCTGTTCCGCCCTGTTCCGCCTCGGCAGATCCGCAGATCCGCACCCGTTGGTTTCAGCGCCGACCCGAAGTGGGGGTCCTCGCCACGTCGGTTTCTTTCCGCAGATCGCTCAGCGCCTTGGCCGTGGAGCGGCAGGGGAGACGTGAAGACATGCTGTCACACCCAGAGTCACATCCAGACAGTCCATAGCAGAATGATACAGATACATGAGAAGTACATGAGAAAGCCTTCCAACCATGTAGCTAAATATTTGACTGGAGTGTCTGGAGTAGTTGGAACTCTTGAAGCTAGAAGCACTGCGAAGAAGTTGATTCTCCCGGTTCCGGATGGTGCAGGATGACCACATCTTGCGGACGTTGGATCCAAAGAGTTGTCAACCTGAGTGTATTCACCTACCCCAAATCTGGACCCCCAACCCCCGACTAAAACAGCATCTCATTCTGAGGACAGAAAACACATGAAAGCACCGTTCTTGCTGTGGATGAAAACCGTGTTTCTCCTTTGGAGCAAAACACGGTGATTGTCTTTTGTTCGATCGCTCGAAAAAGTGCTCCACCGGGCCGAGACCCGGGCCGAGACCCAGGTTCGCTTCATGAAGTTGAAGATCTTCTTGCACAACTGGCGACGAGGTGTCGGAGCGTTTGGACAAACAGAGCTCCGAGACAAACAGAGGAAAAGGCGAGGACACAGAAGCCCTTATAGGGCAGACGAAGTTCGAAGGCTTATATAAGGGAAGGCTTTTTTGGGTGGATCAACATGTGACAAATGATTCTTGGCTGCATTTGCTTGTAGAAGGACATGACCTATAGATTAAAGATCAAACATATGCATCAATAGGCCAAGATCTTTGGTTTGAAGAAGACCAACCCCTCCCGAAACACCGGACGCAAAGACCAACCCCCCCGCGCGCGCCCGGTTCAGCACCTCCTCCGGCAGCTTCAGGCAGCACTGGAAAGGCGACCCGGCGGAGAGCGCCGCCGAGACGACGGACGTGGTTCACGCCGGTTTTGGGGAAGCCACAACTGCAGACCGGTGAGCCCCAACAGATTAGGGACGGTTCCAAGGAATAACCATGTGAACCCCCCCCTCCTTGACAGAACCGAAGGGGTTGATATCTCCAATCTTTGGATATATTTGACAACCCAGGGACCCTAGGGGCAATCCTTGAAAAGAAACTCATGAGATGCAACCACCTTCCACATGGTATAGTGCAGTTGCACAAACCACTGCTTTGAGTGGTTTCTGGATATTGACAAAGGCAGCGTGGCCATTGCGGGTCCACCAACACACTGACCGACTGTGTCAACTTCCGGAGCATGTCGAGACAGTGAAATTGGTTCGAAAGGTGAGTATAGTAATAGTACATATATAGACATAAACATCATATATAGAATCTTAAATGATTATTAATGGCAGGACATGGAGAGTGTCACTTAACTTGGATGACCAACACCTTAATCATGTATCTTTGTAAAGTCAATGCATCGGCCAGGACCCTGAACTAAAATTGATTTGTGCAAAGAAAGTGCTGGTCTGACAAACAGCCACTACTAAGATCACTTCAGGCTACTACCATAATTATGCGAAAGTTGGTTCCAGGAGCGAAACATCGTCATCCCATCTCCTCTCACTTCACAACCCCTGAAGCGTGCCACCGTCCATGCATTCCCCGGAAAAGTCACGGTGTGACCGATCGGAGCGTGCCGGTTGGAAAAAGACAACTGTCCTCTCCCTTCCCAAAAAACTATGTTAAACCCGAAAATTGATGGTTGACCAAAGTTTAAAAGCTTCCAGCCAAAGCCAACGATTTTTGCAGGATGTCTCAGACATTCTACGGATCTACTACATTCTCATCCACATCTCCCAATCTGTTCGCTGAAGGAGCTCTCCCGCCGACCACTGGATGTATCGAAGCCCAGAACCAAAATCGGATTCGGCACCTTCGACGCCGCGACGTTTAGCGGATCGCCCAGCGGATCGCCACCGGCGCCTCCCACAGGACGTTCTCCACCTGACGATTCACCTCCTTCGCGAAGCGACTCGTGAGAGAGGTGAACCAAAGCGCTTCGAAGGGGTCGACGTGGACCGGAAGCCGGGTGGTTCTTGGGGAGGACACCCTTGGAGCAATGATGGGAGGAAGGGTCCAAAGAGGTCAAAAGGACCTCTTAGGACTTCCATTTTCGGAAGTGTCAAATCCCAAGACTGTTGGGTGGAATCTTATGGAGGAACCTCCTGGCCAGGTGTTTCCTGCACAAGTCCGGTGTCCAGGTTCACCACCTGCTTTGGGTGTCACGAGGGTCCCGGTAGTGGTTCTTTTGACTCGCGGATCCCGAATAGAAGCATTCTCAAGGTAGATGTCCCATTGTGACGAACGACGTTGTTGAGGTCCTACAGGGGCTTAATCAGTAATTACAGGTAATAGGTAATAATTACAGGTAAACCCTCAGGATTGTTTATCTCAACTAAACACTCAGGGGGTTCAAGCCTTTCTGGCAACAGAATTTCACACGTCTCTCAAGTTCAGGGGCCACTGTGAGAAAGCATGAATGGGTATTGAGTCACTTGCTAATTTGGAACATGTTGGAACTACATAGCTATATCTTCTGAACATAAGCTTATGCGGGAAAAGCTTGGGATACCAACAGGAGTTGACTCCAAGGATGTCTGTTAGAAAGTTAGGAGGTGATGGGTAAGGGAAGACGATAAAAGTTCCATCTGCATGCAATGCAACACGTGGCACCTATCAGTCAGGAAGTTCTCCTTCACGGATATGACGAGGACTTAGTGTGCACAATAATCTTATTCCATGCCCAGCGGATTGGTTGCTGACTTCAGGTGTTCGACCTTACTTTTCCCGGCACGGCCATCCAGTCCTTCTTCAGCATTGCAGTGGGTCTTCACGTGAAACACACCAGGCCCCTCCTCAAGCCAAAGCAAAACCACCGGGGGCCGGTCCGATTTTATCACACCGTCATCCCGTGACGGTCTCATCTCCGAACGAACAAACAAACATTCGAAATTGATCGAAATCGAGTGCTTCGGTCCAAACCAACGAGGTTGAAGAACCCGAACTAGGCTATCCCATAGGTACCCTGGTAGGGTCCTAGTTCAGGTCGCTTGACCTCTGTTGGAACGTTAGATACTCGAAGAGGCCCAAGGAGCACGAGACGCCTGTGCCGCCCAAGGGCGACACTCGCGAAGGGCGGGTAGGGACTTGGGCCGGAAGGACTTGGGCCTTTTCCTGTGGGACGGCGTCTTGGTTCAGGAGTCTTTTAGGTTCTACCATTCAAAATGGTCAGATGGATTCTGCAACCAAGCCACTGTGAAGTCCCTGCTAACGTAATCAATTCATCTGTGTAAGTCTGCAACTCATATGCAGCTGCTATGCCCTGCTTCACAAACACAAGCCGCATGGTGGACCAAATCCACTACAAGAACAATCCAGAACAATCGGTTCTCCGAACCTCATTGGGGGGTCTGAGTGGTTCTTAGTACCCCCTGGGTTACCCCCTGGTTCTTGACTACGCCCCTATTGTGGAGCCTGAATATTAATATATACCTAGAATCTGAGTGACCTCTGTTTTGGAGTGTCAGCTATCCAACATATGGCCTTTTCATATCAAGGAGGTCACTCATCTGGGCTCTAGGTATATAATACATGGCAGCTTTGCGCTCATGGGTTTCAATCCGAGGTGGAGAAAACAACATTGTTGTCTTGAAGTTTCTCATGCTTGCTGCCAGTCAGTGATGTCCGTACTTGGGAAGAATGGAGGGTCGGTACCAATTTACCATCTACCAATTGGTTGCACACTGAGGGGATATCCATGGATATCCCGTTATCCCGTTATCCCCTCTATCAATCCGATCAGTCAAATGCCATCGTTCTCAGCTTCTGCGGCTCCTGCGCGAAGGTGGCTCGCTGGCCGCGGCTTCAAAGGCGCAGTCTCGCTGCAGCCACCCTGACGGCGCCCAAGGGCGGCCGGGAGGAGGGCACAGAAGGGTTCGAGTCGAATGGGTGTCCAGAAAAAAGTCTGACTTGAGGTTCAATGTGCGTTTGCGTGCTGGACCTAATGTTGTCTCTTGATGATAAAGCCATCCTCTATGTAGATTCAGAACCAGGATTGTGAAACATGGTGAAGCATGTCCATGTAAGTTTCTTCAACAGTAAACGTGAGATGCCATGGTTTGAAGAAAATGTCCACTTACATGTAGTCTTGTCTAGTTCTAAGTGGCTCTTTTCCTATCTGGAAGTGGCTCTCAAACTCTCATGTGGCTCAAGGTCGCAGCTTGGTGTTGGTTGTGCATGAACCATGGATGATATAGCCAAAAATTGGTCATACGATGTCACAAGGAAATGTGTGAGCATACAAGACGGTAATGACCCACATTCTGTTTAACTTTAAGTCTTCTTAGAACCTCCAGCCATGAGCTCCCGTGCCTCCAGTTCCAATGATTCAAGTTCAGATGATGAGTTGGCGGAGGACACGGGCACCAAAATTTTTCTGCCCTCTTGAACCCACCACAACCCGTCAGGACCACACTATCCCAGAGGTGTCCAGAAGGTACCTGGAAGAAGCAGGGCCTGTGTTTCTGCGCTCATCTGGAATCTCGGCGGTATCAAGCCCATGGAGGAAAAAGGAGTTGCAAGGACATGAAGACTAGCGGCTTGTGAACATGTAAGAATAGCTGTAAGGGGGATGTGCTGCAAAGAACAATTCTAAGGATTGGGCCAATGGTTCCATGCTTGGGGGGACAAGCCCTTCACTTTCTGTTCGGACTGCATCTAGGCTGCAACAGTGCAGTGCCATAACACAACAATGCCAACACCTTGGTTCTGACCTGAACATCGAAGCCCTATAGTTGAGGTAGCGGCGCGGATACGCCATTCATGGCCTTGCAACTGGTGTTTGATGCTGCGCAGAAGGGACATTGTTTGGTCCACTTGCAGCTCGGATTGGTTGATTCTCACTGCTGTGCAATGCTTCATGTTCAGCATGTACAGCATTTGAGGCACCAACTCATATCGAAAAAGAAACTGTTCTGCAGTGAAGTCAGCTACCAACTAAGGTCAGCATCGGAAATACATCCACAAAAACGGCAGTTTCTGAGAGACAACTTCCAGATCAAGCAGTTCCCCGGCTAGTTTCAAAGGTTCACTTGAAAGTCACATGGGTTCCATACAACTTAGAGTTGCTGTTGTTCCAGAACATGAACAGGCTAACCAAGTCGGTGATGAAGCAGGACAATGAACCACTACGTGACAAGGCTGGCTTGGCTGGGTTTGCAGCTCTGTGTGTGTGTGGCTTGAAAAGTCTTGATGGTGGGATTGTTTGTTTTGTTTGTCATTTGTTTGATTATGTTTGGTTGATCTCGAAATAACTTGATTGCTCCCGGAGGTGACATTGTATGTCGCGGGCTTTCCTTGCACGCCCTATTCTTCATTGGGGCAGTTGGCACGTCTTTCTGACCCAAATGCTCGCCAACTATTTGCTTGCGTTAAGCGGATGAAAGTTTGTCGCCCAAAAGCTCCTCTGCCAAGCTTTTGAGCAAGGATGGACATTCACAGTGAACTTTGTAATTCGCACTGTAGTTATTCCCAGGGGTTGCCGCTGGCCAAGGTGGCTGTGCTGGAGAACGTGATGGGATTTCGCGCTGTTGCAGATCAGGTTTGGGACTTTTTGGATAAGAACTGCCCAGGGTACTTTAGCCTCTAATTGAGCGATGTGTCAGGTGACCAGTCTCTGTGCAACTTAATGCAGGGCTGATAGCAATGAGTTAATAACAATACCAAGTTAGCATCAATCTGAGGTATCGAAAGATGTATGTGGTGATCAATCCGTGTCTCCAATGAAAAAACTTTTGCAACACTACACCCTGAATCTGTGTGTGTTGTGTTGTGATGTTAGGGTGTGTTCCACATGCGGGGCATCCTAGGAGAAAGTATGGCGCGCCTATCAGCCGCCAAAGGATTTATCTCATGATGATTCAAGAGGCTGTTCTCACTGATGAGGCAAAGCAGCTAGACACACAGGGCTTTAATGACTACTGTCAGAAGAAGTTGGGTGAAATGAAAATCGCTTCCAAACCCGGCTGGTTTCTTAGCTCAAAGAACTGGGACTAAAACCAAATGAATACTTGTCCAGGTCGAAATTGTTTGTGTGCTATTTTTGGGTTCCCTTTCCATGATGGCCATATTACAAAACACCAAGGAATGACTTATTGCTTCCTGAAAACCACCCAGCTGTTCAAAAGGATATGTCCAGACGCAAGCGCTTGCGGTCAGCACTTGCTTCCAAGTCTCTTGGCTCTCTAGAGGTTTAGCAGGTAGTTTGCATACGCGCTGCAATTCAGCAGTTGCTCGCCTAGTAAGTTGGACAAACTGAAAATAGATTCTTGGAATCCTGCGTCCCATATCCCCAAGGTCAGTTTGCCCAACTGCAAAGTGGATCCAAAGACATCGTGATTGGGCAAAGGAAAAGAAGGTCAGAGTGTTGTTTATGATGATTTCTGAGATTCTTGGTTTTGACTGGAAGTGGTTGCCACAGGGTGTTTCCTCCTTCTGTTGCAGGTGTCTGTCAAAACGGTGAACAAGCAAAAGCTCTTTGCCAAGAAGTACGGGGCGGCGGCAAAGCAAGTGACTAGCTTTCGGGAGATGGAGGCTGGATTGGGATCTGCCAAACTCCCGAAGTGTTTTGACTCATTTGTCCTTTCCATACAAAACTGTTTTGTTGTCTCAACAACATGTTGGATTTGTAGGTCATACAATTCCCATGGTAGGCTTGCAACCTTCTCGCTGGCCACCACAAGAACATCAGCGTAGTCAATACCAGCCAGAATTTGGGCCACATGCCGATAATAGAAAACGATCATGATGACTTGATGTGCCTCACGCCAGCTGGCAAGCAATTCAGCTTTGTAAGTGTGGCTGTGCATTTCAGATCTTGTGTCATGGGATTGTTCATTGCTTCTGTGTTGTTTATGAACACATTCGATCCACAGGGCTAAAGAGCTTAGGCCAGCGGGAAAATTTCTGGCCACGAGCAGAGGAAGATACATTATCGGCAGAGAAGTGATGATGTTGATGGGCCTGCCGATACACAGGCTAAAGTTGTCGGCTTGCAGCGAGTCAGTTCCTTGTCTTTTGTCTTATTGATTTTGCCGTATGAGACAGTTGGAGATTCTAAAGAATCATTCACCCTAGCTCGAGTGGTCAAGGTTTTGCATAGCCTTGGCGGAAACGCAATGGCTTTGAGGGCAGTCCTGCCCGTTATCCTTGTAGCCCTTGGAGCTTGTGTGCCCCAAAGGCTTTGGGCCAGCTGATCTAGCGAAGGTGGTTTCAAGCGGATCTACAAATTCATAATTCGGACGGATCGAACGCAATGAAGCTATGTTAGTTTTCTCGAAAAGTAAGCGCTGCCAACCTTTGTGGTATATCAATTTTCGTGCTGCGTCAGTAGTGTAAAAGCAGTAATGCCTTGAACACCCCGATTCTCATGAGGTGTCATATTGCCATTTTATGATTTTCAGGAAAACTTAGCCGTGGGCAAGGTTTCAACTGGCCATCGTTCCTGACCCATGCCCCTTTGCCGTTGGAACGCTGATGCTGACTCTGATGAGAGCCAGCTGCATAGATATGAGCCTACAAGTTCTAGCTCTTCCGATGGTGCAGAACAGTTTCTTGCCTGTAAAATATTCAGGATGCTTCGCTGATTGCCATATATGGCCCTGACCTATCTCCACTTCAAACTCGCACCCACTGGAACTTAGGATGTCAACATCTGATTCCGATGAAACTCTCAGCATTTCAGATACGGATAGTGACCCTGAGAGTGAACCCAATGATGCTCCTGCCCACATTGATTTGACACTTGAAAGGTTGCAATCACTGCAAGCGATGGGGACGGTATCTAAGAAGGATTTGACTGAGTATGCCAAGAAAGGACTTTCTGCAACAAGAATTAAACTGGCTGTGTTGAATCCTCGGTGCAGTTGCATGTGCCGCATGCCCATCAAGCTTCTGTTCCACATATGCGTCGCCTTTTGGCAACTCACAAAACGATCTCAAGATGCGCTTCTATGGAGTATCCAACATGAATCTGGTACCCAAAAGAAAAAGCAATGGCATATTGCAGGACAGCTAACATGACACGTCATGCAGGCAAGCTTTATGTAAACATAATTTGTGTGTTTGCGGCGCTTTGCAAAGCTCCCAAACATCTCGGCGAGCAGGATACCCTATGTGCAAAGAAACATGGGCACACCTCCTTGGCGTCGGCAAACACCGGCTTGGTCGTTGCCGTCATAGTTTTCAGGGTCGGGATGCAAGGTCAATCAGTGGACCAGGTGGAACCTTGATCAACAAATTGATCATTTGATGGGTTCAACACTATATCAAGTTGTCTTGAAAAGGTAGTATGCGGGGTTGAGATGTCTTCCCAAGAACGTGAGCCCGGCCCCACTCCCTGCGGCATGCTCTCAGGACCAGCAGCGCCACCTGCAGTGAAATCAGCAAGTGTGACGAACTTTATGGTGCACCTTTACTGGGCAATTGCAGAACCGATGTCCACTCAGTATCTTGGCATATCTTGGCATTGTCACGTTCACGACATATCAGGCCTGATATGATCTACCTGTTACAAGTACTCAGTCTGGGCAGTTTTAGTTCAATTTCAACTGAAGGATCATGGCAAAGTGTAACATCAACAAAGATGATACGGACCTTCGTGAAGAACTTTTACAGCAGCTCATCGACTGCAAATTGTTAGGACCGACCTGCCAGGTTGGGTGTCACTCTGACCCAACCAGGCTGAGTGTACGAGAACTGCCACATGGATGTTGGTCAAACGTCTACCTGCTTTATCAGGCCCATTGCAGAGCACAAAGCCAGGACCCCGCCTCAAAGTCAACCTTCTTCGCGGTGGCCAAACAGTGGCAGTGCGCCTTGCGCTTCCATAAAAAA